TATTCTCTTTACTCCTAGTTGTAGAATTTCCACTCAGCCAGCCCTCCTGTGGTTCTGGATGGTGTCCGTTCCGTGTTTCAGGCGTAATTTGAATTGGTTGTTCGAAGCAGCAATCTCCGGCCTTAACCTATGCCGCCATCTTGGTTCTATCTTTTAAATTTTTAAATTTAGATTTATAATGGGTGAGTAGTGGTATCTTATTATGGCACTAACGAATTTGTTTCAGTTCTGGGTTGTTTTCAATTGTTTTTTATATTTTCCTCTTCACCATGGGTTGCATTTTCCTGCTTCTTGGCATGCCTTGTAGTCTTTGATTGGATGGCAGGCTCTGTGAATTTTACCCCGTTATGTGCTGGATGCTTTTGTATTCCTATAAATATTCTTGAGCTTTGTTATGGGACGCGGTTATGTTACTTGGAAATAGTTTGGTTCTTTTCGGCCTTTCTTTTAAGACTTGTGAGATGAATCACAGTACTGCTTATTAGAGAGCTACTGAAAGTAGGTCCTTCTGAGTACTTTACCCAATGATGATATTCTTCTAGTGCGGTTTGTGGGAACAGGCACTATTTCCAGCACTGTGAGTTCCCTCGAATCCTTTTGGATAGTTTCCCCCGCCTTGGATAGTTTCTTACATGTGTGCACTGATCAGCACACAGGTGAGTGCCTGAGGGGGTCCCTCTGCAGATTCAAGGTTCTCTCTCCATGCAGTGCTCTCCTGTGTCCTCTAAGTTGTAGCTGCCTTGGCCTCTGTCAACTCGCAGCTACATCTCTTTCATGCAGGAGTTCACTGGATTCTATTGGGTTCCCCTCCTGCACTGCTGCCTGAAAACCCCCTCAAGGCTGTAAACTGTAACCATCATAGGGCTCCCCTTCTCTCAAGATCACTGTCCTTCATTGCCTGGTGTCCAATCTCTTCAAAACCATAATGTCATGTATGTTGCCTTTCTTTTTTTTCTTTTCTTTTGGTTGTTTTAGGTGGAAGGTAAATCTAGTCCTTGTTACTCCATAATGATTAGAATGCAATACTTTTATTAAACATTTTTTAAATTTATTGATTTGAGAGAGAGATTGATTTGTTGTTCCACTTACTTATGCATTCATTGGTTGATTCTTGTATGTGTCCTAATGGGACTGAACCTGCCAGCATGGTGTATCAGTCCACTGAGCCAAACCGGTCAGGGCCATTGGTTGATTCTTGTACATGACCAGGGACTGAACCTGCAATCTTGGTGTACTGGGACAATGCTCTAACCAACTGAAGTACCTGGCCAGGGATAGAACTTTATACATTTTTAAAGAGATTTAAATAATAAAAGTCTTTTCTATTTTTCTACATAGTTGCATTTTAATGCTCTTCATTCTGTTGTGTGGATTCATATGTCCATCTGCTATTGTCTTCTTTCTATTGAAAGAAGATCCTTTAACATTTCTTGTAGTATCAGTCTGCTGTGATTAACTCAGCATTTTTATGCCAGAAGATAAAGGTGAGGAAATCCACCAAGAGAGAATAATATCTACAGGGGAAAATAGGAATAAAGAGATAAGAATATCAATAAGAAAATCAACCCTGGAGGTAAGAAGCCACATCCAGGAGGTTCAAGATCTCTCTTTCTGGAGTTCCTGAAAGAGAAAACAGAAAATTGTAGGAAGGAAAATACCAAAAATACAGGGAAATATTCCAGATTCTCTGAACTCAGAACCCCACCCTCTCCCAAGCATGCAGCACAATGAATGAAAAAGATCCAGGCCAAGGCCCTACATTTAAGACATTTCATAACACCACATGCAGATTTAAAAGTCATTATTAAATCCTTCCCTAGGCTGGAAGGATTACTGGAATTCAGAGTGGAGCTGTGACTTCATGTCAAGAGATGCAGCCAGCCCAATGAAAACTATAAGCTCTTAATAGTGTTCAGAGCGATTTCACATACACTATTTCACTTTTTAAACCGCCTGAGGGCTAACATTGTCCCCCTTTCACAGACATGGGATAAGTAGATACACTGAATAGGAAACCTAGAATGACATTTTTCAAACCTTCATAGATAACACCATTCACTAATATTTAGGTGTGTTTGTTTCTGAACATGGACAAGTTGCTTGGAATGCATATCCAGTTTCCTGAAGAAGCAGAGCCTGGTTTCTATTTTTTTTCTAATCCACCAGGTCATTTTTTTGGGAAGCTGTTTCCAAATTTATTTTTGTGGTTTTTTTGTAAGAAAAAAATTTTTTGCTTTGCTAATTGTGATCAATTTCTTGTCTGCAGTTTATTGTTTTGTTATAGTTGCCATACAATATAAATGTTGAAACACTATATTGTATGTGAAACTAATAAGATATTGTATGTCTTCCAGGTCAATTAATGAACTGCTTCTTTGGGTAGATGTACAGAGCTGACTGACACGCTTCGTTGGTAGGAGATGTGATATGAAGAGCAGTGATCTGCAAATTTATTTGCATAAGTACTCTTGAGGTACATTGGATACAGTTGTCTTTTCTCATTGTGTGTTCATGTGGGCAAGGTTTTCAATCTCCATCATCTTCAGATTCCTTCTGGTGGGTTTGGGCTTCAGGGACCCTCTTCAAATTCCCTTCCCGCACTGTCATTCTACCATTCTGCCAATAAACAAGGTAGCATGATTTAAATGAATCAACTACATCAATAAGAGGGCTTTTCTACCATGCCAAGGGGATCCCAAGTGGTCAGATGTTCTCTTTATCAAATCTTCCAGTGTCCTCAGGCTGGTGGAGAATTTGTAGGTGGGCATGGCCTGAATTTAAATGAAAAGTTGAGTGGCTAGCTCACCAAAATGGAGGGTTGCCATTTCCTGTAAGCACAGAGACATGGTTAAAACAGGACTGTTATGAAGAGCTCTTCAGTCTCAGCTGCTGCAGCCTGTGCTAGGAATGGAAACAAAAGCAGTCGGCGGCGGTGACCACAGCCCAGAAACTGAAACCACACTCTAATTTTGCACAAAACTGCTAGCTGTGGCTCTTTTCTTGGCTTGTGACTTCATTTAGACTGTGAGGGTTACATTTAGTTGTGTGTCAGATAACATCCTGAAAGTAGACTGGAGAAAACCATTTTCCCCTCAGTCATTTGTACTAACCCACTATTGTCAGTAAAGATGTTTTCTAACATGCTGGTACAGATACACTCGAGTATAGAGGTCAATACAATCCTGGGGTGAAAAGTGGGAGGAATAGCCACAGTGGCCCTGAAGGAGGACAAGAAGGCTGAATGAAAAGGAAGGAGGGGGAAGGAGACAAGGAGAACAAGGAGGGAGGCGTTGTCATTTGGGAAAAATATTTGGAGTTAAATTTATGTGACCATTTTGATTACTCTGGAAATTAACAGTATGTTAAAGAAAATGGTAAGAGCTTCTTATAAAGAGAAGACCAATTACCAGCTTTATTGGACCAGCATGCTATTGACAATTGGTTACCAGCAGCTTAAAACTGTTTAACTTTTTCATCCTAAAACCACTCTTTGGGGGGGGGGATACAATAAACCCTTGATTTTGTGGACCTCAATTTAACGGACTTCAGATTTTTTTAAAAATTAAATCTTTATTGTTGAAAGTATTACATATGCCTTTTTTCCCTCCACTGACCACTTGTAGCCCACACAATCCCTCACCCTATTGTCTGTGTCCATGGGTTATGTACATATGCATGCAAGTTCTTTGGTTGATCTCTTCCCACCCACCCACCTTCCCTCTGAGATTCTGCAAGGCATGCGGTAATTGGTTGGAATGTCATGTGGTGGCATGACTTTCTGCAGCAGTTCCCAGGGGACAATGCCCTAAGCCACACCCCAACCATGTGCATTTGTTTACTCAAGGTGGCTGGTGAATGCCAGCATTTACTAGACCTATTAGGTATAAATTTTAAACTACTATAATGCATGTAGAAAACTGTGAAATTAAACTTTTCCTACATACTTAACGTTAATTACACAAACCTGTCTACCTAAGTAAAAACAGGTAAGCTAACTAACGTCAATTTTTTAACATAAGCATTCAGAAAAACAACTTTATTGTACAATGTACTTTCAGCTTTAATGGACAACCCCCACTCAAATTAGTCCATTTTTTCAAGGTTTTACTATAAAACCAACCAAAGAATTTCAAAGTGAAATTTGCCTTCCATTGTTTAGCCTTGAGTTCTTCAACAGTCACCTATGCTAACAGTGAGATCCAATACTTCTTGTCTATAAGAATTCCGATTTATCACTTGACACATAGTACAGATTCAAGATATAGTTGTTAAAAACTAATAAATGGGTAAGTGGACAAGCAGAGAATGATCTTAGAAATACTGAGTTCTGCAAAAGCTTTGATAGATCAAAGCAAAGCATTCATTTCAACCTGCACCCTCTTTTAAAGTTTGCATTTGAGAACAAGCAAAAATGTTGGAAAGAACCTCCCAGGGAGGTAGTTGAAATGCGATGTTTGTAGGGTATAGACTGTACACAAAGAGGACAACATTTTAAAGTAATTTATTGGAAATACTCCCAGAAAGTTTAAGGCCATAATACAAAAACATTCATTTCATCAAAACATTCATTGACTTTCTTCCCGAAGGTCAGCTCTTGACAGACCTCTTTTCTTGATGCACTGGCCAAAGTGGCCGATGGTTCCTGCAAAGAACGAGTCATTCTTTTTCCTCGACATCAAACACCTTCTCTCTGCTTCTATCTGCAGCAGGTTCATTCACTCCCCAAATCAGTAACAACTTGAGAAACGAAGCAGTTTTAAATAAACTTGCAATAGGAAAAAAATTTCACCATGTTTAAGATCTATAAATACAGAAATAAGCTTACAGGGTAAAATTGACCACAATATTTTTTGTTTTTGAAAAATAAGTAATATACCTTGTTTCTATATTGATAAATCTTGTTACACCGCTTCTCTGAATGCACAGGATAGCTGTACGTAATAAAATGACAACATAGTATTTACTGCTTTCTTTTCTGTAAACTTGAAAGACACAGAAGATTAAAAAAAAACCTTTTTGGCAATAATTTAGCATCATCACTACTAGTGCTGGTGTGGGTATAACTTTGCACAGGTCACCCCTAATATTTACACTTGCAGGAGCTTTTGTGTGTATTCAGTTAACTTTTTAAAAGGTCTATGACCCACTTGGTGTTGTAAATCAAGGCTGGTCAAAGAGATACTAGTTTGGCTACCTGATCCTAATTAATCATAGACTTAATTAAGTTGGCCTTTGGAGAAGGTAATTGTGATTCACAACACAGAGCCAGAGAGGGCAACCTCAGGACCCAAAAGCAGAGCAGGAAAGCCGGAGGCTCCGGCTGCTTCCAGAAGGGTGCTGGGCCTGCTTTTCTCTTTTACTATTCCTCGCGTAAGGTCCTGATGAACGTACTTCTTCCAAATTCTTCTCACGTTTCTATAAACAGAGTTGCTGACTCGGTTTCAGTCCTTTTTCCTCATCCCTTCATTGATGCTCTAACAGATGAAACACAATGGAGACCTTGGCAGATGAAACACAATGGAGATGGGCTTCCTCGCTATCCTGCCGGGTTTTCCCAGGCACTCTGAGATTTATTCTCATGTTTTAGGCTAGAAATGGCTCTCCAAGGCAAGCCAGCTACGATGACAGAGACTCCAGGTGCAATGCACATTTCAGTTCAAGATTCAGAGCTGACAGGTGCGTTTGTGCTGGTCCTGTTAAGGCCAGACTCTAGTTCATGTCCTAAGATTATTGCATCAGATTTGCACTGGATGACACAAGGTCAGGAGGGTATTTCTTCCTTTGCTAAAATGAAGCCTCCAGGGCCCCCGGGGATGTTTACATGCTTTGTGGTTGTATAACATCGAATCAAGTTCACTGCCAGGATTGATCTTTCCCGGTTTTCCTTCGAATGCCATCAGGGCACACGAGTGCCTTCCTCGTGCCCTGTGTGCAAGGCCCCCTAACCTCTGTGCCTTCAGCCACCACACCAAAGAGCTAGAAAAGCACTAGGAAACATGGAAGGACTCTTTAAGAATCTACATGAAGCAGTAGTTTAGAGACTCCTTTTCTGTTTTTTTAAAAATCCAGCAGGACATTTGAAAATAAGTTGTTCAAGTACCTCTTGATCCATCCAGACACTTGTGAAATACAATACAGGAGAACAGGCCACAGATTCCAGCTTACACAGACAGACGGGCAGTTACAGTACTGGGGACAAAGATACAGACACGAGAGACTGGGTCAACACGGTCACGACATATTAAAAAGTGCTTCTCCAAACCGTTCCATGAGTGGAATGCAAATACTGTACAGGTAAGACACGGGGCTACTTCCAGGAAGTACTTGCTTCTGTCAGACATTGCTTTCAACGTGCTTGCTGTTCCCACAGGAAGAGTCTGTCTGTTCCATGCGCTCACAGTCGAGGCTGACCTCACTCGTGTCCATACTGCAGTCTGAGTCACTGTCCGATTGGTCCATCTGCTCCAGTTTCGTTTCTCCCTGCGGCTCGTTGCTCCCGGCGGCGGGATTTAGGAACGGTCCCTCGGAGTCGAGCACCCCAGCCTGCCCGGCAGCACACAGCACTGTTTCTTTGGCTTGACGAATACAGTTGAGCCACTGCTGTTTGTTGAAGGTGTCATTGGCTTGTAGTGAGTGGGTCTGACTTTGGGATCCATTTTTGAAACTTACTCTAAAGAAGTTTTTAACTAGAAATGAAAACACATGGAAAAAAAGGTCAATGGACAGATATCCTCCCAGGCCAAGATAACACATGTCGTGACACTAACCTCAGGTCCCTATGGCACAGGCATCACTGACTGATTACAAAATATGACCCATGGATCCGGGACATGGCTCAGAAGTGCCCTGCAGCCACCATCAGTCAACCAGAGTTGATACAGGTCTAGCTCTCAGTTGCCCTCAGAAGCTAGCAAATGGGTAATCAGCCCGGAAAAAACTAAGCCATGTTCCAGGGGACCCCGGAGTACTGGTCACCCAACCTGGCTGCGTTATCAAAATGCCCTGGGGAGCTTATTAAAAACATAGATACCTGGGTCCTACCCTTAGAGATTCGCAATCACTAGGTCTAGGGTGTGCCTGGTAGTCTGTTATTTCAACAATTTCCTCACCTAGAGAGCATTTCAAGTTTCAGAAGCTCTCTGTAACATCAAAACATGCCTATGAATCTCCATGATGGAACCTTTTCATTTATATCCAGTGATTGAGAAGATATGCAATGACGCAGAGCGGTTATAAATTTGGTTTCATTTAAAAATGAAATTACATTTTTAAGATCTCAACAGGACTTATGTGCATTTAAAAAACAGTAGTGCACACTATGCAAGACATTTTATTTAGTTTAATAACAACAACATCAACTGGCATTTAATGGCTCCACGTGCCACTTGCACCGCTTGGTTCAAGAAGGATCTGTGTCCAGCCAGTTCCCTTGCGTGACCCTGTAGTCAAGGCTGGGAGCCATCCTCTTGGATACATTCGGGCTCCACTCTTTGTCTTGGGCAAGCGCCTAACTCCTCTATGTCTCAGTTTCCTTATTTGTAAAATGAGGGAAACAAAGAGAATCTGCCTTAGGAGATTATTATGAGGAATAACAGAAGTCCTTATACAATGCCTGGCACAGGGCCAGTATTCAAGAAATAGAAGTTACTACTACTACCACCATCACTAGGGTGGAGGACTGATGAGTAGCTAAGAGGTAGTACATACTAATTATTCTGACAATATGATGCCAATGTTACCTCAAGAGTCAAAATGTCACTTTCTCAAAGAAGTCTGCCCTGACCATCTCATCTAAAACAGATCGCCTACTGCTGTCCCCATCTATCCCCTTACTTGGTTTTAGTAACCTTAACAGAACCCATCTATCTCCTCCTCCATCACAATGTAAACTCCATAGGAGCAAGGCATTGAACTGTTTGTTCACCAGGGTGTACTAGCGCCTAGAAGAGTGCTTGACACGTAGAAGATACTCAATTGACGTGGCTATCTTAGCTTCTCTTGGTTAACGCCTTTGTTTATTCAGTCTCAAGTTAGAAAAGCTTATTGGAGTATGGTAAGTACAAACGAACCCGCAGCCCAGTCGACCATTCTTATGTCTCTTTAGAGACAAGCCTGCCAGCTCAACTACAAAAGGCACTGTTATGCAACTGGTATCCACGTAGGGACTATCTGGTATTAAGCACACTTTTATAAAGAGAAAGACAGAGAGAAAGGGAGCTTAAGAAGCACCAGTTCAGTTATGTGCAGGCAGGTTCACTTGCAGTATCTTACTTAACCCTGAAGACCACCTTATGGAGTAGGTCTGCATGTATCCCCACTTTGCACGTGAAAAACCGAGGCTCACAGAGATTGAACAAAGCTACACAATCAGAAAGCACTGAACTAGCTCTGGGATGCAGTTCAACTCCAAGGCCATGGCTCTTCTCTTTTCACCAGCCAGCCACGCCCTCTGAACCACCACTGCACTAAACGTTCAAGAGGTCAGAACAAACTGTCGTCTTACTTCTCTCATTGTTGCTGAATGCCCCTCGCAGGGAGCCGCCCAGCCTCACTTCTCCATCCTGCAGGTCTTCCAGCAGGAGGTCCTTCACAGGGATCGGCTGCCGGTACAGCTGGTAGCAGAGCTGCTCATTGTGGGTGATGGCTCGAGTGATCACCAGCACTTCTTGGAACAGGAAAACGTGCAGTTTCTAGAAGAGAAGAATCCACAGGGTGTCCCTAAGCAACAATCTAAGGAGTGGGTGATTACTGGACTAAGAGGTCCACAGGTACCAAGTTCACACTGGATTATACACTTCCGGCTCAAGTCCACCTCCAGGTGAACAGAAGTCAGGCAGGTCCCAGATGCACCCACTGCCTTTCTTATAGGAGCCTCCCGAGGGCCCCATGGAGAAGGCCTTCCTGCCTACAGACACCAGCAGCCAGGACTGCCTTCACATTGCAATTCAGAACCTGTGCAGACACACACGGTCCCAGCTCCCATAAGAAAAAAATAAAAAAAGGGGGAACAGAATAAAAGGGGGTAATGAGGGGGTGGGGGGAAGATAGTACCTCCCTGACTTTGGTTTACATTACTCAATATAATTCTAAGAGATCAAAATGAATAATCTATCTATAATAATAAAAGCATAATATGCTAATTAGACCTGATATCCTTATGGACAACCTTCTGGATGAAGCCAGGGCTGGGAGGGAAGCCCGGGTCCCGGGTGCCAGAGGGAAGCTGGTGTGGGCAGCTGGGGGAAGGAAGGCCTACTCTTGCATGAATCTCATGCATCGGGCCTCTAGTAGTCTATAAAGGATGAGACTGGTATATCAAAGCCTAATATTAATCTCTTCTTCCCAAACTCAAAAAAACACTTGTTCGTTCAACCACAGAGCTGATTATCAGCTTCATGCAGGCACCCCCCCTCGGAACACTGCCCATTCCCAGGGAAACCAGAGCATGCTGCCGCAGCCAAGAGAAAGAAGATCAAAGACGTCGTCCTTCTCAGTTGAGTTCCTCAGAACCTCAGTTCTCTGAAGAGGTTGTGTTTAAAAGGCTGACGACCGATGTGTGTGTTGTGGGCAAAAGAAAATCTCAAAAATAAAGGCTTGTGTCAAACCACATCATGAAAGCAATTTTGCCAGGTGTGGGGGTGGGGTGTAAACTGGCTCCATTCAGTTCCATGTGCCAGACTCTTCTCTCTGTTGGAAATGCTTAGGGAGTGAAGGGTAAAGACCCACCACTTTGCAGCTGGGATTTGGATTTCTAGTATTTGGGATTGTCAACCTAAAAGTCTCAAAAAGGAAATGGGTAGAAACTCACATTGAAAAATTTTTGTTTGTTTTTTGTTATAGAATAGTATGTATTTTTCTATTACTCAAGAAAAAATAATTTTTCAAATTTATTGGCATAAACTTATTCCTGGTAGTATCTTATTATCTTCTTTTTTATTAAAGTATAGATGACACAATGTTACTAGCTTCAGGTATACAACATAGTGATTTGATATTCACGTACCTTACAAAGTGATTACTACGTTAAGTCCAGTAACCATCTGTCACCATACAAAATTACTATGATATAACCTACTATATTCCCTGTGCTGTACATTACATGCTGTGACGTAATTAATTTACGACTGGAAGTTCGCACCTATTACTCCTCTTCACCTTTCTCAACCATCTAGAATCTTGATTTGGGGCAGAGGAAGCACATTCAGCATTCTCAGATACTTTCCTATTTGGGAGAAGTGAGACCTACCCCCACTCCATCACAGACAGACAGACACACACACACATGCATGCACATGCATATGCACACACACATGCACACCAAAAACTAAAGCTCAACCAAATGTTGGCTGCTGGAAACACAAATGATGATTCTGTATTGTGGCGGGGGAAGGGGAGGAGAGGTTTGAGAAGTGAGAGTTTGTTTATCAAAATGACTAAATATGCATTTAAAATAGTTAAAAACATAGTAAAGCACAAAATAACCAAGTGAAGGGCTTTTTTAGGGGAGAAGTGGTACAAAAAATATGTTAAAACTTTTTGTTTTTGGACAAGGAGAGAAGGGATTGGTCATCGTTGTACACACTAATTATCAGAGATATTTATACTGTTTCTATTTAAATCAATCTTATAGCCACTGTAGGCAGTTTGAACTCAGATTATCTGGGAAATCTTTTTTTTTCTTTAAAACAATTTTTTATTGCTGACACTATTACAGATGTCCCCAACCCCTTGCCCCTTTGATCACCTCCACCTAGTCCCACACCCCTTCCCCCCAGGCCCCACAGCCCCTCCCCTGGTCTTTATCATACTGTTGTCTGTGTCCAAGGCCTATCTATATATGTTCTTTGGTTACTGTTTCCACCTTCTTTTACTCAGTTCCCCGCACCTGCCTCCCCTCTGACATTTGTCAAGTCTGTTCCATGAATCCATGCCTCTGGTTCTATTTTGCTTGTCAGTTTATTTTGTTCATTAGATTGCACATATTAGATTGCACAATATTTATCTTTCTCGACTGGCTTATTTCACTTAGCATAATACTCTCCAGGTCCACCCATGCTGTGACAAAGTGTAAGAGTTCCTTCTTTTTTTACAGGCACGTAGTATTCCATTGCGTAAATGTACCACAGCATCTTCATCCACTCATCTACTGATGGGCACTTGGACTGTTTCCAGATCTTGGCTATTATAAATAATGCTGCTATGAACATAGCGTGCATATATTCTTTTTGATTGGTGTTTTGGGATTCTTAGGGTATATTGCCAGAAGTGGGATCGCTGAGTCAAAAGGTAGTTCCATATTTAATTTTTTGAGGAAACTCTCCGTGTCACATAAGAAATTTTTTGATATTTGCAACCATAGTAAAACAAAGACATATTTTTGGTATTTATTTTATATATTTAAATGTCATTTAACAAAGAAAAATCAACCAAAAAAATGAGTCCGCGTGTCACTTCTGACATGCGTGTCATAGGTTTGCCATCACTGCTCTATACTGTATCTGGGAAATCTTTAAAAAAAAATTTTCTTTTTAATCCTCACACAAGGGTATTTTCCATTGATTTTCAGAGAGAGTAGAAGAGAGAGGGAAAGACAGAGAAATATCCATGTGAGAGAAACATCGATTGGTTGCCTACTGCGCTCGCCCTGGAGCCTGCAACCCAGGTACGTGCTCTTCACCAGAATCGAACCCAGGACCCTTCAGTCTGCAGGCTGATGCTCTATCCACTGAGCCAAACCGGCTAGGGCAGTATCTGGAAAATCTTTACAAAGATTTATTATCCCTTACTTATGGATGCTAATTGAGGATTCCTGTTCCTATTTTCTGCTTCTTTTGGCCCGCAAGAAATTGGGTTCTTTTCCTGACACAAGATTTTGTTTATAATGACTTCTACAATTCTACTGGGGAGGGGGGAAATAGCTAAAACAAACCTCCCATCTCAACTACTATCTTTGTTCTCAAAAATCTGTCTGCCTGCCATATGAACTAGAGTTCGTCTTGAATGCCCTACCCATCCAACCAGTCTCAGCCCTTGACTGAGGGACAGAAAGAGAATAGCCCCTCATCCCATGGAGCACTGCCTCTTCCTGACAATTTCCCACAGAGCTCCTAAAAATGTGTGGTCAAGGAGCCAGAGCATTCAGTGTTACAAGTCCACCAGTGCCTTCCAAAAACCAGCAAGAAGCAGAATGCAGCTTTCTACCCATCGGCCACTCCCTAGTCAAAGAGAAACACCTTTTAAGCAGTGGTCTGCGACAGGTCTCATTATCTCCTCTGCAGTACTGATAACGGGTGCTGCGACGTGTATTAGTGATTTCAAGTAACATTTCCAAGCCTGCTCTTAAACACCATTTTACAGTCCAGGTCAAATGATAGCCCTTGAATTATCACAGCTTGATTAAGAACTCTTCAATATAGTTTTGGCTGCCCAGCCAACGTGGTTCAATGGTTGAGCATTGACCTATGAACCAGGAGGCCATGGTTCAATTCCTGGGTTATGGGCTTGCACATCCCACTAGGAATGTGCAAGAGGCAGCCAATCAATGATTCTCTCTCATCATTGATGTTTCTATCTCCCTCTCCCTCTCCCTTCCTCTCTGAAATAAAAAAAAAAAAAACACATTTAAAAATTGTTTCTCTCCCTTCGTCAGAAATCAATACAAATAAATTTAAAATATAAATATAGTTTTGGCTTTCATTCCAAGATACTGAAGGTAAAATACAGTAAAAGTGGAGACTCTTTCTCAACACTGAATTTAAATATATAGTGTAGATAATAAAATTTATATGTTATATAAAATACGTTTTACATTATAAGATAAAAATTATAACATATAACATGTACTAGAGGCCCTGTGCACAAAAATTTGTGCACTCGGGTGGGTCCCTCAGCCTGGCCTGTGCCCTCTCACAGTCTGGGACTCCTTGGGGGATGACCACCTGCTGGCTTAGTCCCGCTCCCTGGGGAATTTGGCCTAAGCTGGCAGTTAGACATCACTCTGGCAGCCCGGGAGCCCTCGGGGGATGTCCACTTGCCAGCGGGGAGCAGGCCTAAGCTGTAGTCGGACATCCTTAGTGCTGCTGAGGAGGTGGGAGAGGCTCCCACCACCACCACTGTACTGGGAGCCATCAGCTTGGCTTGTGGCTGAGCAGAGCTCCCCCTGTGGGAGCGCACTGACTACCAGGGGGCAACTCCTGCTTTGAGTGTCTGCCCTCTGGTGGTCAATGTGTGTCATAGTGATCAGTCATTCCCAGTCTTTCTGCTGTTAGGGTCAGTTTGCATATTACCCTTTTATTATATAGGATTAGCATTATTTTCTACTGACTATACATAAAAATAGCCTGATCAGTTGAATGAATTTTGAACTCTCATATAATTCAAATTCATCCTTTCTTTATATAAGCATTCATTCATTCATTCATTCACTCACTCATAATAGGTTCTGGGAACTGAAACAGCACAGTCCTCTCTCAAAGCATATGGTATAACAGGAGATACTGACAGAGAGGTGGAGAACTGCAACCCACTGCAGTAAACACTCCAGGGGAGACTTGTCCAAGGTGCCATGATAGGAGAGGAAGAACAATTTCAATATCTACTCAAGAATTAAAGCCAGGAAATGGGGTATCTACAGGTCAGAGGTAGATACACAGCTAATGGAAGGTAGGTTACTATTTAAAAAAACAAAACATTGGCCTCAAAATGTCAGTCTGTAGATGGGTGCCAATCCTACGAAAGAAAAGAGCTTCTCACAATGCTAAACGCACTCCATGCGAGAGCTGTTTCCCTGAGATCACCTGCTGTTTCCTGATATCCAAGTGGGAGGAGATAACTGTTCTGTGTTTGCTTTAGAAGGTTACGATCAAACAAAATAAAACATTGGCAACTCTGTTGTTTTCCAAAATTCTTTCTATGTTATGGTCATAAAATTAAAAAATATATATGTATACATAAATTATAAACATGTATTTGTAATATATGTTATATATAAACTAGAGGCCTGGTGCACAAAATTAGTACACTCGGGGGGTTCCCTCAGCCCAGCCTGAGCCCTCTTGCAGTCCGGGAGCCCTGGGGGGATGTTTGACTGACGGCTTAGGCCTGTTCCCCAGATGTCAGTCAGACATCCTTAGCGCTGCTGTGGAGGCGGGAGAGGCTCCCACCACCACCGCTGCACTCGCCAGCCCTGTGGGAGTGCACTGAGCACCAGGAGGCAGCTCCTGTGTTGAATGTCTTCCCCCTGATGGTCAGTGTGCGTCACAGCGACCAGTTGTTTAGCTATTTGGTCAATTTGCATATTACCCTTTTATTATATAGGATTATAACCATCTATATCATAAAAGGCCTGTGGTCATGACATCGTAACGACAGAACGACCAAACAACTGGTAACCAGGAGGTACATGGAGCACCTCTCGCAGGCCGGGACTCGCGGCGAGGTGGGGCTGGCACGGGGCTGGTGTGGTGGAGGCGGGGCCCGCATCTTGTGCAGGGCGGGTCTGGGTCGTGCTGGGCCTCTAGTGTAATACATAAACATGTATAATATATGTGATCCTCTGATATAAAAGACAATGGAAAAGCCATTTTTGTCTCAAGAACATGACCCTGGGTAGAGAAGGCATAGTAACAGGAGGCTCAGCATCAAACGGATCAAGTGTTGGGGAAGGCCCAGGGAGAGGCCCCTGAAGGGGAGTAGCCACTCACCATGCCCCGGTTGTTCTTCAGCTCGCCATGACAGCACAGCACTCTCGAGCTGTCGATCAGAGAGTCCTTCTGGCCTTCTTCCAGGTAAAGAAGCCGTTCTTTGTAATAATGGCACTCAGACTCCCCAGTCTTGATGTTGATTTCTGCTACGATTCCCTGAATGATGTTTATCTACGGAAACAGAAAGAGTATGGGGAATGGAAGCAAGCCACCCACACTAACAAGTCCCAGGGGCTCACCCTAGAACAGTGGTTCTCAACCTTCCTAATGCTGTGACCCTTTCATACAGTTCCTCATGTTGTGGTGACCCCCAACCATAAAATTATTTTTGTTGCTACTTCATAACTGTAACGTTGCTACTGTTATGAATCATAATGTAAATATCTGATATGCTGTATGTGTTTTCCGATGGTCGTGACCCACAGATTGAGAACCGCTGGCCTAGAAGGTCGCCATGATCCACCTGGATCTAATTCTGAGATTCTGTTCTCCAAGCTGCTGCTTTGGGAAAGGGGAAAAATAGAACGCTTTTAATATGCTATATCTATCTATCCATCTATACACATACACTACATATACATGTATTTATACATATGTCCACATACATTTATCTGTAAACACATACAGATGTTGGTATTGTATATAAAACTAATGTTGATGAATAATCTTATTTGAGAGGACAAGATATAAGGTACTGTTTTCGATAGGCAGGACTCACAGCTACTACATACACTTAGGCCCAAGCCTCAGCACATGTGAACAAGTGAGGGGGCAGAGAGATTTCAAAGCAGTGGTGGATGCAATGCTGTCATACAAAATGAAGCAAAGCAAAATGAAACAAAAACAGCACGGCACTGAGACGTGTCAGTGGGCGTGAATTCTGATGGGTTGTTCTATCACATAGGTACATCGAGAAGTTAGAAAATACTAGAAAACAAAGGAACAAGAAATCAGCTGCATAAAAACTAAAACGCCAATCAAAGGCAAAGTAATGACTTCCTCTGTTCTCTAATAGTGAAAAGACCAAAAGTCCCAACTGCCTTGTGGTGGTGTTAACTGAAAGAGCTAAAAAGTGACCAGGTCTTTAACGTGTTGTGAACTGTCTCTAAGACGGTTAAGTGATTATTTTTCACATGCGAGTGAAATGATCTTCTCAAAGCAACTGGATGAAAACTTCTACCAGTTATAACTGGAACATCCACGTGAGTGTGACAGAAAAGCGTACGGCTCCGAGCTAAAGCCTGGTGACGGTAGCCTATGAACAGATGCATAATCTGTATACTTTTGTAGCTATTGAGAGTTTCAAAGATCATTTATTTATTTTTATTTGTTTATTTAAAAATATTTTTATTGATTTCAGAAAGGAAGGGAGAGGTGGAGAGAGAGATAGAAATACCAATGATGAGAGCGAATCATTGATCAGCTACCTCCTGCATGCCCGCTACTGGGGATCGAGCCCACAACCTGGGCATGTGCCCTGACCGGGAATTAAACCATGACCTCTTGGTTCATAAGTTGATGCTCAACCTCTGAGCCAGGCTCCCCTCTTGGTTTTCAGAGATGACAGATTATTTACTGCTACTTTAAAAAAACAAAGAAAAAAAGAAATTGCACAAAATATGTTAAAGCTATGACTCATCCTTTAACTTAATTAAACTAATGTTCATTGAGCATCTGTTCATTGTTAACATAAGGTGCATTCAAAGAAATCGGAGGGTCTCTATCCTCAAGAAGCTTAAAAATATTATATGGGAGGTACCTGAGCCACTGATTCATTATCCTTTTATTTTATTACATTTTTAATATGTTATAGAATCCATATATTTCCTTGCTTTTAAAGATCTTAGCATTAATTGTTATGACATAAGTTAATTATTATTAAGTATAACTGGGCAGCTGACATTAACCAGCACTTGAGTCAATTTTCTGGGTTTCCTGCAAGGGTCCAGGAAACCAGAAGGAAGATGCACCACAGGCATAAAGACGTGTTCACTTCCTAATTTAACTCAGGAACTGAAGAGCTGGCATATCACATGAAGATTAATAAACTCAAACACCACGTGGTTCCTTAGGCAGCTATGACTACTTTCAAAGGTGCTTTTTTCCCTCTGGTGTTTGAAAGTATAAAGAGACAAAACAATGGAAACCATCAGCATTATTCCCTATTCTATATGTACATTTATAATAGTAACTCTGGATATGCTTTATTAAAAAATCTTATTTTGTATTTATAGCCACCTGTACACCGTCAGAGTCTACTCTCTCTGCACTGGTTCCTAAGAGGAATTTATTTTGTAGAATTTCATCGAGGAACCAAGTTAAATATAGTAGACGGCCAAGAGCAAACAGTCATGGCAGTTGTACATTTAAATTAAATTTATTGTTGCATCTCTCATCAAATCAAAGGGAAGGGGCCGGTAAAGGGAGATGACGAGAGATACCTGGTAACTGAACAGGGATTAAGCCCACATATGCTGGACTCATCATCCTCAAAGTGGAATCTGAAAGCTCTGTCTGGCTAGTCCCTTGGGTGGTAAGAGCATCTCCTCACAGGCTCCTGACACGAACCAACAATAGCAGCCTTCACTGCTGCTGCATCAAAAGCAGGACTGTTCTACCCACTGATTGCAGTGATTTTTTTATGTTATAGGAGTTGGGGAACAGCAACTGGCAGAGGGAAGAGACAGTCTTCAGGATCATCTTCTGGCTGAAACCATCCTGAGAATTTAAAACATTAAACAGCCAGCTCCCGGAATATCTGAATATACAGAGTCCTATTTTAAGAATTTCTCTTTTGGGGGAAATTTCTATCAAGCCTCCAAAACACTGTTAAGAAATTCTAATAACGATGTGATACTTGATGCATTGCATTAGCAGCAAGACTTCCTTTAGATCTAAGTCACAGGACTGAACGCTTGGTGTAGAAGCAATTTACTTAGTGTTCTCTGTTTTTTTTTTAATTTCATTTTCATAGGTGGAAACTTTATTCAGGGAACATGTAAGTTAAGCTACATTTATGTTTATCAAACATTCACCATGCTCCCAAGAGTACAGGGCTAAATATTTCTGCTCATCTGGGGTAATGCCACAAGGATTTTGAAAAGAAGATTAAAAAGTGCCGTGCCTACATTGTGTAAGTGGGCATTCAGAAGACTTGCTTTGCAGACATTTTCCAGTGCGGGTTTCCCATGCTTCGTGCACAAATCTGCCTGAATTACCAGGTGCAGAGTCAACTTCGGAGAAAGGCATCACATTTTAATGCACTAGGGAAAGTGGTGCAAACAATCATATTCTTTTTTCCCTTTTAGTTCAAGCTTTAGCTCACTGGGTGTTTTTTATACACAGAGTATTATTCTTTCATGCTGCATATTAAAAAGAAATCTTCACAATAAAACTGTAAGCAAGCTTGTGTGCTTTAAAAAAGTAATTATTTAGACTAGCGTGAGCTCCCTCTGCTTTCATTCCTGCAGACCACACACTGGCTGGGATGAAATATGGAAAGGAGGCAACCCTATTGCACTCTTCCCCGTAATAAAAACAGACATGATGAAGTGAGATGGGCCTCATCCCTGGTGCCCGCATCCCCCATCGTGCTGGACTGGGGGTCTGGTCTGTGTAAGTCGGGCCTGCCAGACACCTCATGAATCAGGAGCGTCTTTTCTCTTTCTTCTCTGTCCTTACATGGAGGCACTGGCCCAGCTCTGCACCAGTGAGGCCTCTCCGCAAAGCTTGGTGGGCAGCTTTCTGTAATTGCAAAGGCATCAGGGCCCAGGGTAGCCAGGCTTTCCGCTCCGCGGTATAGGATCACAAGGAAGTGGAAACGGCCCTGGATTTGCAATCTACACTGACAGGTTCAGGCAGCAGCCCCATCCCTTGCCGGTTCTGGACCTGACAAACCGTTTTCGCCTCCAAGCCTCAACTAGAAAATGGTCCTAACAAGAAGTTACCTCATAGGCTACTCTGAAGATGAACTAAGGGCTGATTTACTGGGTATTCAAGAAACGTCTGCAGGTATCACTGTTGTTGTTGTTGTTATTACTCATTATGAAGCCCCTTCTTTGGGAGGAGATGGGCAGGGTGCTCAGCAGGGTCAAGGCTTCTGATTTTCAAACCACCAACGCACATCCTCTTTCTGCTACTGTCACAGGCCCAGTCAGGGAACGAGCCCTATGAACTGGTCTCTTAGCCTCCACGCCTACTGCCACCTCTGAGCAGGCTCCTCTGACTGCACAGCTGGGCAGCTGCACCCAGAGACTGTCCCTAGTCTCTCCTTGTCTGTCCCCCGTCCTACAGACCAGGAGGTGACTTGTCCAAGGTTACACAGTTTGTTGCGATGGAGTTGGGATTTGAACCTGAATCCCAGCTACTTAGAAAACAAAAACACAACAACGAGAAAATGTCTCCAACTGACATTTAAAATCCTCTACAGTCAGCTACAAGCCCCCATCCTCTGCCTTCTCTCCCACTGTTTCCTCAGACTATCCTCAACCTCTGGCTGACCGCTCCATGCCTCTGCCCAGGCAGGACCTGTCCTGCCACATCTTCACACCCCGCACAGGCCCCTTGCTCCTCCAGCCCGCCACGTCCCCTGCCTGCCCCGCCGAGTACCCCAATCAGAACCCAGCTCTCTGGGCAGAATGCTCACAGTTCACATTATTCTCATGATGTAGACCCCATTTCCCCCATCTTGATAAACATTCACTGGAGGCCTGCATCCAATTGATTGGTGCTACATTTAAAGTGGGTGCTGACTTCAAAAATGGGCTTTGGGGCTCAGGTAAAAAGGCAACTCCAATTTGCTAACTAGGCAAAGATATTCAACTTAGCATCTCCACAGAGATTTTGACCCTCACAGCAATGCTAACAAACAGATTGCAGAATCAAAAAACTGTAGCATCAAAGGAACTTTAGAGTGCATTGCACGTAAACACTACACTTTATAGGTTAGGAAGCTGAGAGAGGAGAAGTGACTTGCAAAATAAAATAAAAAAATATATGGTTGATAACAGAGCCAGGCCTAGAACTCAAGTTTCCTGAAGCCCATGTACCCAGAGACTTCCTTCACCCATTTACCTAATCCTCTCCCGTCCCATGGGGGAAAATAATAAGGCAGGAGAAAAAGAAAAAAACTTACAGCTTCCTCCAGGTGCTGCTGGTCGGGGTTATCATTCGGCGTGTGCCTCAGGATTTCTCGAAGGAGCAGAGGGTATTTCACCAGGCGGCTCCTTGGAATATCGAGGAAATTCCACAGATCTAGTTTGCGGCTGAAGGGGGATTCTAAACATCGCTGAAGGAAGTCCTGGACTCGGTGGTCTTGTTTCTTGTGGTCCAGCAGAGCTTTGGCGGCTACTTGATTGCTGCAGTAGCTGTCGTAGGAGCTGAGACAAGGCAGCTAAGAAAGGAACATGAGAAGAGGGTTGGAGTGTTACAATCACTGGAGCTACAATTGACATCACTTGCTGGGACTGAACAAAACCTAACTGGTCTCCGGGCCTGGCCCACATTCCTTTATCTGCAAAGGCTGAAGGACACAGCCCAGTGGAATCTTCAAGATGACAATGGAACAGTGTTTTCTGGCTCCGATTTGCTTGCACAAAGTAATTGTCTTAGTTGCATGTTTACTTTCTTGATAGTTAAGATCCCTATCCTAATTTGTTTGCATTTCTGCCAATCTAAGCTAGAAACAAAAGAACTAAAATTATTGCATATGCATTAGTTCATAATTTTCCTAAACTTCCAAAAGTATCTGGTGAGGGGAGAACCTCCTATTACAAATTGTCTTTTAAAATTATTCATAAGAAACATATCTAGAAGACTTAGTAGCGTAAAAAGAAAACAAGCAGCCAGACTCCACAGCCAGCCCTTGGCACAGCTTGGAAAAAGCACCTCGACGTGAAGTTAAGGTTGACTGATTCAAAGGTGGACAGATGATGAGGAACTCCAAGAAGTTAAAGCAAAAATGTAATTAGTAAAAAAAATTGACGCAAGAAGCGTTTAGTAAAATCTTTTAAATTAGTTCTGACAGGCCAGAAGTCGTTCTGGCTCTACCCACTGGTTAACATCACACTACCACGCAAAAAACAACTTAAGCTTAAAGACTTTGGAACACTTCAACTCCACTCTCTCCTTCCAGCAAAATACTAATCTCTCTGATGTGTCCCATCAGTCCAGTCGTGCAAACACAGAGTCAGAGACTCAGGGAAAGGGCTGCTCACCTCCCTTTTCCACTTCTCCTTCAAAGAGGCACCCTATACCATGCATCCTAATGCATTGGCTGTCAGCTTCCAGAAAGTTCCTGGAGGCAATAAAATGCAGCCAACGGCCTTGCTGTGTGCTTCTCTCCCTCGGACTATGAAGCCACATCCACCACGACACCTGCTCTGCAGTGGGATTCAGTGAGAGTCGTTTGTTTCTGTATCCTCAGCACTTTGCACTGGGCCTACTATACAGCAGTTTGCATTCTGAATTAACAAATAAATGAATGTTTAATGGATTACCAGATTAGGTAATATTTGATTGTTTGGGAACACGGCTTAAAAATAAGTCGTGGCAGCATCTGAGCCATGGGTCAAAGTTTAAATAGTCTGCTGCTTCTTTTACACCTCTTATTGAAATTATTTTTTCAGTGACTGAAATAAAAAAAAAAGATACCAAGGAAGCAATGTTTAAAAAGTTCACTGTTGAGTTTAATATTCCTTGGAAATGTCTACCTTCTTTACATGTTATGAAAAACCTCTATTTGTGTTAAAAAAGAGTTGCAGAAGTTCTTTCCGTAACCTTGTATATGAAAGTAATAACTGGTGTGCGCACGCGCGTGTGTACACACACACACACACACACACACACACAGCAGATGTGGTTTGTGGGTTGTAATTTAGATTTTCAGAGTTAATTAAAAGGAGCCTCAGGCCCTCTCAATTTCATTTCCACTTCCTCGCCTTTTAAAGAGACTTGGAAATGTCTAATGTGGTCATTACAGAGAAAGAAAGCAGCAGTAACTAGTGAGGAGGCCCCAAAGACACTGCTGCTCGCTGCCCAATGAGCCATTACTCTCTGATCCTGCCGCCCCTGCTGCCATGGCAACCTAGTCGGGCTCTGGCCCTGTGTTCACACCTGACAGGGTGCTCATTTCCTGGGCATGACCTGCAAGGCTATCTGGTGCAGTCCACGGACTAGAAAAGGCCACAGGTGATCTATAGCTAGATAGGAAATGAAGAAGGTACACATCTTGGTTCCCAATTACATACACGTGTACTTATACGAAATGTGAGAGGTGACAGACAACACAGTGGTTAAGAGGACAGACTGGGATCAGGGAGAATCGTTTCAGAGCCTTAACTCAGGCTGTTACTAGTCACGTGACCCTTCTGAGCCTCAGCTTCTCCACTTACAAAATGCATAGACTAATGTCCTCCTCTCCTTTAGTTAAATAAGCAGAATAAAAAGTGTAGCACGAATGTGGTTCCTGGTTAAGAATCGGTAAGGGCCAGCTATTATTTTTATTTATCCTTAGAATATTTTTATGGAAGAAACTGTGGTTTAGAGAAGCAAGACTACATGCTCAGCTGGAGACAAAACCAGTCTGAGTGTGTTCTCTCCCCATCCCACCTGCAAAGCTCTGCACTCACCATCTCTTTAAATAGACTACCAAGAAAGAATTTATAAGGGAAACTCTTTTTTTTTTTTTTTTTTTTTTTTAGAAATTCCTTCTATCTCCCTAACATTGTGAAAAGTGACACAGAACAAATCTATATTTTTGCTTTCATGTGCCCTACCTCTCTCCTTGGAATTAAAATTGAATTAGGACCCAAATTAACATGAGAACTTGTGCCTTGGAGAGCTTATCAATTATTTTATTACTGAAGAAAGGGTTGGCGTGAAGGTAAGTCACTTGGGAAGTTGTTTCTTTATGATGGGGAGGCTGATGAGAGCAGGCTGACCCCTCAGGGAGACTGATCTTCAGTACCCAGAGAGGTTCCCTGAAAAAAACCAAAACACAAAAAACCCCCACACTCCTATAAGGCTTTCAAAGTAAAAGTAATTGATTCATTCAAAGGTCAAAAGGACTGGTCAGGGCTAACCCACTTGGCAGACTCACTTGTTTAAAAGGGTTTTTTTCCACTCTTTCTCTTATGGGGGGAATAAATCAATTTTTCATGGGTCAAATGGGCTCTGACTTTTCTCATTCAAAGTCCACTAAGATGTTTATTTTGTACTGTTAAAAAGACCAGAACTCAAACAGATGTACCCTTTGGTTTACAGTTCCCACTCGCACGGACACATCTGTAGTTAGAAGAGGGAAAACGTTTAACAGCTCGTCAGCCTGATAAACAAGGAGCGTTTCTATGAGGTCTGGCAACAACGGGCCAGTTGTTTAATTTTAGGCTGCTCCTCAAGCTGCAAGTCCCACTTGGTGTCTGAAGGATGCAGGTAGCAATGGGCCCAAAGGACTGCAAAAGCTACCCCTCGAGCAAACCAATGTTCTAATAGAAGTGACAAACATTTCTTTCAGAAAAAAAAAATTAATAAGGCAAATGGCTGTACTTTTGCTTCTGATACAAACTGATAATTTGTATGTTGGTGTCTAAAGAAACCATGCAGTTCCATGTTGCCATCTCATCAGAAAAAGCAGTCACCACGCTGATTCTGGAGTGGGGTTTCCCTGGCCCCTGACCCCCATCAAAGCAGCCCACAGACTCAGAAGTGTAAGCACAGTGAGCACACGCTCTCTTCTCATTGCACCTTCTCTGTCTCCAGCTGTCTGGCTCTCTTTAGAGAAATTTCTTTGTGGGCTAAAGAAGTTAAAACATCTACCACAGCTTATAATAAAATGAAAGTCAAAAATATAAGATGAATGACCTCTCCTGAAATACTGAAGCACATTTTCTAAATTATTCATATGAGAACATTACTTGCCTTTCAGAAGCCCTTGGGATATTTCAGCCTCTCTGCTAAAATTGACTCCCTAACTAACGCTAGCTAAGTCATGAAACCCTCAAAGTTTCTGGATCAAGGCAGTAATTGAGAAGCATAAGTTACTATAAGAGATCCATGTCAAAACTTAGGAACCAGAAGGTTTTGGGAAGGCTAAAACACAAATACAAATGGAACTGGATAAAGAGAACGCACATGGTAAGAGTAGAGCGCATAACCTTCACAACATTCTCCAAACAGCAGATGACCCTAACCCTTGCTGTTGTGGCACTATCTGCCTATTTTCTAGATCAGGGGTGGGGAACGTCTGGCCTGCGGGCCATTATAAGGCCCTCAAAATCATTTGGTCTGGCCCTGTGAAAGCATTAGGGGTGAGTTAATTAAATGTTTGACCACACAGAGCAGGCTAATTTCAAGTTGGTAATTGTGTATGGCTTGGGAATGATGTTATAAATATCCAAATGGCCCTTGGCAGAAAAAAAGGTTCCCAGCCCTGTTCTAGATCATTGTGCGGAACAGAAGGATGAGAGGCCTAATCCTGACTGGAAGAAGTCATCAGAGTACTCTGCTTTCACGACCTGGTTCATAACAAATGGAAAACACCTGGGGCTGGGGTAGAACACTCAAGCATTCACAGAGGGAAACAGAAGCATGCCATAGGAGTGATGGGGCCTGTGGCAAAATGCAGAGTACATGCCCGGTCTAAAATACATCAGTCAAATGAACAGCCACCTTATGGACCCAATAAAACACACCTTCAGCCCAGGACCATACATTTAGGAGCCCTGATCTAAGGTCGCAGCTGGTCTCTTCAATTAGGAAAGAAAAGGGGTGATACTGAGATGAAGGTCAGCATTCTATGAAGTTACTTAGAATCAGATATATGCTAAACAACAACAACACTTAGTTATCACCTTGTTTATGAAACTACATTTGGCTGTAAGAGGTTTTTGACAGCCTGAATAAAAGTGTTTTTTATGGCCCTGGCCAGTGTGGATCAGTGGTTGAGCTTAAACCCATGAACCAAGAGGTCACAGGTTTGATTCTCCGTCAGGGCACCTACCCTGGTTTCTGGTTCAATCCCTGATTGGGTGCTTTCAGGAGGCAACTGATGGATGTTTCTCTCTCACATCAATGTTTCTCTCTCTTTGTCCCTTCATCCCTCTCTTAAAAAATCAATATAAACATATATTTTTAAAAATATTTAAAAGTTTTTTTATGATGATGGATAGGAATATGTCCCTAACTTTGTACTGGAACAGAATTGGTAATAATTATATTATAATTGGCTTAAATAGAACATTAACTAATGTTACTTTATTTTATTGAAATAAAGGGGCATGTTCTCTTTAAATGCAGTAAATGTGTAATAAGAAAAAAAATTATTTCCCTGCTTTGAAGAGCTACAGCCTAACGATAATGATAAATTTTACTAGGAATTTGCTGTTTTATTTGTTTCTGGTGTGAAATCGGGGTTTGTTAATAAAAAGAGAAGTCTAGCTAATATGAAACTCCATTTAAATTATTGAAATTTATCTTCAATCAAGACCAGAGAACTTTTCTTACCCAGCCCACGAGGATGGCACCGACGTGTTCAGTTGAGCCATCAGGTTTCCGGACATCTCGAAGCTGACTAAGGAGCTCTGGTAAACAAACAGAACGCTTACTTTGTTAGGCATTCAAATATGAAGGAGGCTGGAGGTAGGCTCTGGGTTACTCACATTATTACATAATCATGACTTGTATAAGACAGCTCAATTAAGGCTACAAGTCACAACGCATCCTTGGAACAAAATTATACCTTCATGTAGAGGAATTAGAGAGTCCAGTGTTCCAAAAATCTGATTCAACTCCTGTTCTGTCATTATGGAGAGTTTCAGCATGGGGTCGTGATAGGCCTGTGCAAGAACCACAAGAGATGGAAGCAAACATTTAAACTCGGAGGAAGTAAGTTGTTCATGTAAATGGTTCCTGAGAGGCCCTGAGAATAACAAAATATTTGGCTCTCCCCAACAGCTTCTCCCATAATGCTGCAGAAACAGCAGATGGGTGTGGCTGGAGCAGATGGGAATCCAGCATTGCCTTGAGCCTTTTGTGGTTGTTCATAAATCAAAGTAGATTTTTTTTAAAAAAAATTCTAGTGTATCATACATCTAGGAAAGGGCACAAATCCTAAGTATAGAGCAGATTTAATTTGTATGTTTTAAAATTTTACATTATTACCACCTCTTATTAATGATAACTAACCCACAAGAACACCCAATTATTTCCAGGGTACTGTAATAGAATACAAAGACTCAGATGGCACAGTCTCTGCCTTCAAGATTTATAAAGCTAATTGGGAAGATAAGAAAAACACATGGAAAGTTAAATACATGTTTAAGAAATAGTTCAAGCCCTGACTGGTATGGCTAAGTGGTTAGAGCATTGGCCCATGCACTGAAGGGTCCTGGGTTTGGTTCCCAGTCAAGGGCACATACCTGGGTTGCAGGTCTGATCCCCAGCCCTAGTCAGGGCAGGTGCAGAAGGCAACCAATTGATGTGTCTCTCTCACATCAATATTTCTTTCCCTCTTCCCCTTTCTCCCTCCCTTCCTTTTTCTCTAAAAAAATCAATGGGAAAAATATCCTCAGGTGAGAATGAAAAGAAAAAAAAAAGGGCTACATAGACTACAAAGCATGGGTTTCATCCATTTTATCACACATAATGTGATTAAAAAACAAATCCTATATAATAAAAGGCTAATATGCAAATTGACTGAACGGCAGAACGACCAGTTGCTATGATGCACACTGACCACCAGGGGGCAGACGCTCAACACAGGAGCTGCCTCCCTGTGGTCAGTGCACTCCCAGAGGGGGAGTGCCGCTCAGCCAGAAGCCCGTGGCAGCGCTAAGGATGTTTGACATCCCCCCGAGGGCTCCCAGACTGCAAGAGGGCGCAGGCCGGGCTGAGGGACTCCCCCTCCCCAGTGCATAAATGTTGTGCACTGGGCCTCTAGTTTCCATATAAAAGACCCTAACTGACATGATAGTACACAAGTGACTCACTTAACTGTATTATCCACTTATGAGATTCAAATGACTATTTCTAACACACAATTCCAGTTTCAGACCATCTACACTTTCTCTCCCGTGGATAAGGAGGCCCTGCACGTGAAACTTCTAAGACAACAAAACATACGTAAAGCCAGGCCTCCACCAACACTTTCCGATTAAACTGAAGTATTCTTTGAGGTGCACTAGAAGCATGCAGAGGAGAACCCCTAAAGGTGCCAGGTCCAGAGAGCTTCTTGTTTTGAGCCATTTCCCCCACTGCTTGGTTTGTGCAGGTTCTTTTGGATGAACCTTAGTCATAAAAAGAGTGCTAATAAAGACAACCTTAGAATTGTGAAGTTAGAGGGAAAAAACATGAGGTGACTCACATGACCACTGGATTTAAATTTACCTTTTTTGCCAATTTCAAGTCCTCTATTAAGTCTTCTTCTCCTTGGGAAAGCTCAAAGATCGCCTGCGAGGAAAGATAAAATACATCCACTGAAGCATCTCATTTATGAGACCAAATTCGAACAGTGCTCAAAGCTCCAAATCTACTTACTTCTTAAGTATTTTTAAAGGATTCTTAAAAAGTTAAATTGACCTGCAGCAAATGTATCGAGTGGCTAAAAGCTACAAAGGAAAGATTTTGCAAAACTTCTGTATAATGTGCTTATCTGTTTGTGGGATAAAGGGGGTTCCAACATATGTTTCCAATCCAACAAATCATCTTTCATGTTATAGATCTCTGATGCAGCCAAACAAGAGGGGACTATTTTAGGTAAAATAATTACAGATTGAGCCACGGATACGAGTTCGTTTGAGTGGCAATCACAGTGAAGGATTCAGGGTCTGCTCTCAGTGATGGATGTGGCAGTATTATTAATTGGGCCATCACAATTTATCTTCCTTCTACTCAACATAAGGTGCATCTCAATGGAAAGCATTGCCTATCAACTCTTGTCCTGAGGCTGGAATTATAGGAAGAGTCTAATATTTTATCACTCTAAATGTCCGGTGAAGTTAATTCATTCTCAATTACTTTGCAGGCCTACACGGTACAATAAATAAAATTACAGGAGCCGGCTATGTGCAAGAGTGCATAAAGGGACCATGTCTAATTTGGCTCTATTAAGCCATCATAATTTAAAGGCTGTGGTGTGCAGAATGCTCTTCCACTCTCCCCTGGGAGTCTAAATGGTGGCAAGCATTACATTATGAAAAGACTCCATGTTGGTGGTGCTAGTTCGGGGACTCCTACATTTCTTTTAGATGACAGGGCAGAAGTGAGAAGGGTGGAGAACCCCTCCATTCCCGGGGTTGGTGGAGCTGGACACTCGCTGGGGCCCAGTACATAGTGTCCCTCCGAGGCCCAGCAAGGCCTTGATGCCATGCCCTCCTGCTACTCTTTTTTGTTTAATCTTTTATTTTGAAATATAGACTCATGTGTGAAGTTAAGCAAATAGTACAGAGAAGTCCAGTACACAGCCTTTTCAGCTTCTCTGAATGGTGGCATCTTACATAACTACAGAACCAGGAAGTGCATTGGCACAACATCCTTAATTAGCCTTTACTTGGGCCTTTCTCACCTTGTACACCTGTTTTACTAGAGCTCACGTAAATAGCCTGACTGTCTGACCAAATGTGACCCCAGAAGAGGAAAATCACAGAACTCCACAATGGGCTAGGCCACAGTCAGTTATCTGTGGGGGGCAGCACAGTGTCGCCGTGCAGACCAAGGGCTTTGGAATAGGACAGGACCTGGGTTCAGAGGATGGCTCTGCAATTTTCTGGTGCTCACTGTGCTAGCTGATTTCCTCACCTGCAGAATCAGTCCCTCCCTCCTTCCTTCCCACTAACAGGCTGTACAAGTAATACATGCACACTAGTCATCCTCGGAAAACACAGAAAAATATAAAGAGAAAAATTTTTTGAATGCCCATAATATCATCTCGTTAACCATCATTAAGACCTTGCCATATTTCCTCACAGGACTTTTTGAGTGCAAGTAAATGCTTTATTTACTCATTTTAAAATAGATAATGCATTGCTTAGGTTCAAAATTTAGAGTGCACAAATTTATACTTGCTGAAAACTTTCTCTCACCTCCTTCCAACCACCCAGTTCCCCTCTGAGGAGGCAACAATGTTACTAGTTCCTTGTGTTCCTTCCAGAAATGTTATATGTTTTTAAATTTAAAAAATTACTTATTTATTAAATTGATTGGGGTGATATTGGTCAACATGAACATAGGTTGCAGGTGTGGGTTAGGTTTTAATGTTTTAAAAGCAAATATACTTAAAAACACATATGTTCATTTTTCCTTCCCTCTTATTTCACATAAATAGAAGCATACTCTTCACCCAATTTTGTGCTTTGCTTTATCCACTTAGCCATTCATACATATCAGCACTTTTTGTGTGTTTCTACAGCTACAAAGAATTCCATGTATGGACATTCATTATTTAACCACTCCCTGGTAATAGATGTTCAGGCTGTTTCTGGCACTATTATAAATGTTACTGTGATGAATGAGCTCACACGTACATCTTTTCATCTGTGTATAAGTGTGCCTGGCAGACAGATTCCTAGAAAAGAATTGCTGAGTCAAAAACCTAGAAAATTTTCAAGTACTCCCTTTTCCAAGGTCAAATTTGCCTCAAAAAATATAAATTCTAAGGATTTCACAAGATGATGCACATTTGAAGTATTTAGCACAGCCTGGCACAGAATGAACTCTCCATAAAGGGTAATATGATCACAGCCATGTAGGGCTATTGGTACAGAAAACTTATCGGAAATGAAATTAACTGCATTCCCCAGAAGAGTTTTCCACAACACTGAATCAAAGTTTCATTAACTGAATATTTTAAAATATTACAGAAGTTGCTATTAAAATATCGCTAAATGATTATGATTATTTTTTGTGAATTCCAGGATCGAAAATAGACACGTCCCAATTCACCTTCTGTGTAAATCCAGATGTTCATATCAGTTTCTTTTTCAAGTGGGGCCACACCCACCCAGCTGAATGCTGGTTTCTCGGTTCCTTAAAAGGTCTGACACCCCCATTTGTCTTCCTTCTACACATGCCAAGGAGAATGGATGTGGAAAAGGGGTGGAGACCTGCAGTGTACCTGCCGCCAGGCACACGGTCAACTCCGTGGGCCCCACGCCTACCTCCTGACGTTTGATTTCCTTTGATGTGAGCATCTGATTGACACACACGTCGAAGGTCTCACTCCACAGCTTGCTGTCTCGCCGCTTGGTGCTCGAGGGGGCAGCATTTCTGGACCAGGGCCGGGGGGTGAGGATGTCAGGACGGCTCTCGCTGCGGAAGCTAATGGAACGCTGAACAATAAGAAAAACAAACCGTCACGGGGGCCGCAGGGCTGGGTGGATCACTCGAGCAGCTTCCTGCCCCTGACAGAACATAAATCAGACATCTGCAAGAAAGAGAGGACAATGCCAGAGGCCTTTTGGGAAGGAGGGCATTGTCTTGAGCCTACGTGCTAAGGAAAATTGGGCAAGGGGCCACTTTCCCGCACGCACGTGCCAGGAGTACCCACGATCTGGATAAACACGAGAGCATGCACAAAGGCAGCTCTCAGACAAGCAATGTTTAATGTTTTTCCATTAAACATTTCCACTCTCCTGAAGAACAACAATGAACAGTAGTCGATGTCCTTAAAGGATTCTACTCCTATTCTCCTCCTCCTTCTAAGAACAGAAGCCCACTCTCCTTGCTATTCTACTCACTCACTTTGGTTGGGCTCCCCCAGACCTGGCCAATCAGAGTACTCCACCCTGGTTCTGGAAGGGGCATGTGATTCCCTGAAATTTCATGAATCATGGGAGGAAGAGTGAAGGACTCTTTATTTTTTTGGGATGGTGAACTCCAAGAGTTAACATAAGCAGGAGTTTTTTGCAGCTACTCTCCCTGGTCACAGAGAAGAGTCGGTTGATATAGGAAAGAATAAAGGGACACAGAATGAAGGATGGAGAGAGACACCAACGGAGGAAGGGGGGGAGGGAACAAGCTTTATCCACATGGTTAGAGTCCCCGGATCCTACTGTGCTTGAAGCCAGGAAGAGCCACTCTCAGACTAAGGCGCTAATACATTCTCCTTTCAGTTTGCATTCATCTCAGTTAAGGTTCTGTCAACTTAAAAATACCAACTAATGCACATACTAAATATCAATCAAATGATGCCTGTCCCCGAGTTATTTTCCAAAGAGGTCCCAGTAGATTTTGGGGTGGTCTAAGCACCCAAAGTGCACCCTTAGGGCTGAAACATGCTACCACGGTGTTTTCTCTTAACAAATACAAATGATCAAGAAGAAAGCTATGTGCATCATATTCAGCCTTCAGCCTAGAAGATTTCAACACACTTATTAGAAAGCTTGCTAAAGTAATGAGGTGTTGCTGGGCTCAAAAACCACATTCTTGCCTGGCCAGTGTGGCTAAGTGGTTGAGTATTGATCTATGAACCAGGAGGTGGTCACGGTTTGATTCCTGGTCAGGGCACATGGCTGGGTTGCAGGTTTGATCCCTAGTAGGGGGTGTGAAGAAGTAGCCGATCAATGATTCTCTCATCATTGATGTTTCTCTTTCTTTCTCTCTCCCTGTCTCCCTTCCTCTCTGAAATCAATAAAAAAAAATATTAAAAAACAAAACACCCCACATTCTTACTTAGCAAGTGCTCCCTGCCACGGATGTGGCCACATATCTATGGCCTTCAGTGTAAATTTGCAACTCTTCAGTGTGGTACAGAATGCCTCTTATAATCGGACCAGAGCATGCATGTATATAGTATCACTTCCTGCAACTCACCCATTCTCTAGCCCTACTATGGTATCTCTAGCCCTATTAGACTATCTGCCATTCCCTAAATGCATCATGCCTTGCCATCTTCTGTGCTTCTTTCAAGAAGTTTTCTCTTCCTAGAAAGCTTTTCTGTCATTTCTTACCTAGTTCATTCCTGACTGTCTTCAGGATATAACTCAAATACCTCCCCTAGGAAGGTTTTACCAATGTCTTCCCATGCTCTCCTAAAGCAATTTGGACATATTGCTGATACAGTAACAATCACATTTTATTATACTTAGTGGTCACCTGCTCTGAATTATAAGTTTACTGAGGGCTAGAATTGATTTTATATGTGACATATATGTCATCCTCACTAAGACATTATGAGGTAGCTTCCAAATATTTTGAGATTCAACAAAATTTACAAAAGAAAATTTTAAGACAACTATTCACATGAGGACATTGCTAAATAAGGTATACTCATCTGCTTAATGGAATATTATGTAGTCATTAAAACAATTCTGAGCTAATTTAACAGACAATTTTAACAGCTGAAAATCTCTTCTATGCAAAAAGATTAAATCAGTATATCAGCCCGTTTGGCATGGTTGAGTGTTGACCTAGGAACCAAGAGGTCACAGTTCAATTCATGGTCAGGACACATGCCCAGGTTGTGGGCTTGATCCCCAGTGTGGGGTGTGCAGGAGGCAGCCGATCAATGATTCTCTCTCATCATTGATATTTCTATTTCTCTCCCTTCATCTCTGAAATCAATAAAAAAATTTTTAAAAAATCATTATATGAACAGTTTATGATCATGAACGAAATGCACATGAGCAAAGATATAAAGGGGATGCAACAAAACTCTATTTTTTTTTTTACCTGACTACATTATAGGTAATTTTTAACCTAGTTTACAAATTTTTGTAATTCAAGAAAAATGAGTAAGAGAAAATGTAAAAAGAAATTTCCAAGGGACCTCAGGGTGTTACCAGCAGGAAGCCAGTTCTGTCTGCAAGTAGCAACACAGCTCCTTAGGCTGACATCCCTGAGCTGCTGGGCTCATTAACGAGCTCGAGCTCACGATTGCTGGGCCAGCCCCGGGCTGGTCAAGAAAGTACTTGCTCCAAATACGCAGTTCACTAATGGTATCTCATGAATCCTCGTGAGCTCCTGAAAACAGGCCCTTCTGAAAGAGGGAGCAGACTAATGTTGCAGCTCCCCAGCACGCAGAATCAATTAGCCACAGGCACGGAAAGGTCAAAACAAGCAAAGTGAGTCATCAAATAACCCACTCATCTCAGTTAGTGGTTCTGATCCCAGCCTGGGGGAAAGGGGAGTTAAAGAGCAGAGAGAGGAACACACAAAAAACAGATTCAAATGAAAGACATTTTCCACTTTCACTTGAGAGAATCAACGGCCCACCTGTTAGTGCCTGACCAACTTCAAAATCCCCCTCCCCACCCACAGTTTGAAAGTAACTTATGCTAACTTTAAATTCTCATACGTTACAAAAGTATATAAAATTAAGTACGTGGGCGGGGGGTGAGGGCATGCGCTGGGAGGTGGGAGTGGGCGGGGAGAAGTCAATGGTGGGGGGAAGGAGACATACGTAAAACTTTCAACAATAAAGAATTTTTTAAAAAGTGTAAAAACAAATTAAGTACAAACCCTCTCATTTTTCCAAGTCCAATTAGTAGAAGTGAATGCTATTAAGTTTGTTCTAGATCCTGTCAAACCTTTTCTTCACATTTGCTAACATTCACAGAAAACAAAGTTTTATCTTTTCATTTAACAATGTCTTTCTGTGTTAGTATAAAAGACTGACTTTTTAAAAAATAATTTATCGTCCTAGCCAGTGGTTCAGTGGTTAGTGTTGGCCCTGGCACTGAAGGGTCTCAGGTTCGATTACTGGTTCAATCCCCAGCCCTTGCCGGGGCTTGTGCAAAAGGCAACCAATTAATGTGTCTCTCACATTGATGTTTCTCCCCTGCCCCCACTTCCTCCCTTCCACTCTCTAAAAATCACTGGAAAAATATCCTTGGGTGAGGATTACCAATAATAATAATGATAATAATAATAATAATTTATTGAGGTGAAACTTCACACAACATAAAATGAACAGTATTTCAAGTGAACCATTCAGTGGCCTTTAGTATATTCATAATGTTGTGCAACCGTCTTCATCTAGTTCCAAAACATTCCATCACCCAAAGTCACTCATTCTTTGTTTTTTCTTTAATCCTCACCTGAGATTTTAGAGAGAGAGGAAGGGAGGAAAGGAGAGAGAGAGAAGATGTGAGAGAAACATCATTCGGTTGCCTCCTGTACGCACCCCAACCAGGAATGGAACCTGCAGTCTCGGTCTGGGCCCCAACCAGGACTGACCCCGCAGCCTTTCCGTTGTACAGGACAATGCTCCAATCAACCGAGCACCTGGCCGGGGCTCACTCTTTTTTAATGGCGGACGAGTTAGTATCCAATGTCTGGGTGGACCACATGGACTCAAACAAACTCCAACTGATGGACATTTAGGTCCTTTCCCGTGTCTGGCTATTACAGAAAGTGCCTCAGTGAACATCCTTTCCCTATCTGTGCTGGTATTTCTGTAAGGCGGAATGCTCAAGTAGAAGTCCTTGTTTAAGAAAATCAACATTTTAACATTTGCTCTGTGCTGCCAAGTTGACCTCCAAACAGTCTGTCCCAGAAAGGCACACGACACGACAGTACACTTTTTCCAGACTCTCATCAGCAGGACATTATGATCAACCTAACAGGAAAAACAACCTTACCTCCTTAATTTCCGGGTCATGTTTTGAATGTCAGATTGGGCATATTTTTATGTATTTATTGAAAACCTTCACAGAGAGTTGGAGATTTTCTTCTGTTGCGGTTTGAAGAAGAAAAGAGATGTGAGCCATACCAGGTGAGCTCTGTTGCTAAGGATTCCTCGTTTTGTGTTTCCTTGGTGATTGCTGGGCTAGGGTGCTAAGGGGAAGGGACAGGATGATGTTTACCATGTATGTCACACAGGGGCCGTTATGTGCTTCCCACGCTTAGCACTTCTGGTGAGTTCTCTCCGATCCTCACAACCGCCCTGCAAGGTGGGAATTTATTCCTATTTTATGATAAGGAAACTGAGGCTCAGAGAGGGTGCCTAATGAATGAATGGCACGCGCTATGTGCTGGGCACTGTTTTGCACTTGGGGAAACGTGAGGTTCAGAGAGGGTGACACTTGGCTCAAGGTCACACAGCTAATGAACAGTGCTCCAGAATTTAAACCCCAGTCAATGGTGAACTCAGAATGACACCTAGGTCTGGTCTATTTCAGTCCAACCTCTCCTCCCCCCAATTTTTAACCAATATCCTGCTCTGCTTCCTCTAGGAGAGTGGTTCTCAACCCTCTGGCCCTTTAAATACAGTTCCTCATGTTGTGACCCAACCATAAAATTATTTTCGTGGCTACTTCATCACTGTAATGTTGCTACTGTTATGAATCGTAATGGAAATATCTGATATGTAGGATGGCCTTAGGCGATC